GTTTTTGAAAAAAAAATAGTGTAATTATTAAAAATAAAAATAAAAAAAAGAAAAAAAGAATATTTCTCCTAGTTTAGTGCAAATAAACCTTTTTTTAAATATATATATATATATATATATATATATATATATTTGTAGTAGTCTGGTGTGTAGTTAGTAAGTAATTAATTTTACTAAACAAAAAAATAAACAACAAAAAGGAAAAACGTAACCACGNCAGTCTAGATACTTTCTCCAATAAGATTTAAACCTAGAAGAACAAACCTCATGCCGGATATCCCTAGTAGGTTCGCTTTATTTGCATCACGTCCATTTGACTTAGCGAAACTCGGCACAGGGGCCGGGTCCGTATAACACAGATATCCTCTTCGAGACCATCATGTTCGTGTATGTGCTACTTGATACATCATTTGGAAGGCTTACTTGCATTGTCCTACCGGTTTTAGTAAAAAAAATAAGTAGTAATTAATTAAAAATAAAAATAAAAAAAAGAAAAAAAGAAATATTTCTCCTAGTTTAGTGCAATAAACCTTTTTTAAATTATATATATATATATATATATATATATATATATTTTGTAGTAGTCTGGTGTGAGTTGTAAAGATTAATTTTCACAAAAAAAAATACAACAAAAGGAAAAAGTACCCAGCTCTACCAAACTACGCGGGTTCGATTCTCACCGGATGTGAGATACGTAGGCAACCTCCATCGGGTTCAGCCCACATTTTTCAAAAAAAAAGGGGGGAGCATAGAATTCCGCGTGTGCATAATATTTTCGAAAAAAAGGGAGAGCCTATTTTGGTCAAATGCTGAAGGGCCATTTTTTTTTTGTACAAAAAAAAAATATTTACTTTATCCATATTTATTCACCTTTTACCATTTTGCCCTTATGTCTGGCCATTTTTATCGAAGCAGCTTTAAACCTTTCCGGAAGTACCGAAAGACTGTTTTTGCAAAAGTAACCATTTTTTATCTAGTTTTGTCTTGTTTCTTTTTCTGAAATAGCTTTGGAACCCCTCTAGGAGTAACAGAGGGTCATTTTTGTAAAAATAGTTTTTATTTATTTTTTCTACTTTTATCATTTTGTTCCTGTGTTTGGCTGTTTTTGCTGAGACATCCTTTATGCCTTCTATGGAAGTATCAAAGGGTCGTCTTTGTAATGATAGCCGTTTTTCCGTTATTATCATCTCAACTTTTGTGTCCGGTAAAAAAAATAATAATAAAAAAAATATAGATCGAGTCCTAAATTGGCAAAATAATAATAATAATAATAATAATAATAATAATAATGAATTGTCATAATTTGCATGTAGTTTAGGTAAGTCCTAACCCTTTTTATCTTATCCAGGATCACCATGAGTTCTCCACTAAGAAGCAGTCAGAAAAGGGTAAGGGACGAGACACCTCCAATGTTCTTAATCAGAGATAAGACCCCGAGCAGTCTCTGTAATTGGTGGGCTAGTTTTGCTACATGGGAACGGAATCGAGTATTTAAGCACCTCAAGTTCCTCACAAACATCATGGGAATTAAGCCTAACAGAGATTTAATCGAGTCTCTAGTGGGTTTTTGGGACCCCGCGAACAATGTCTTCAGGTTCAAAGATTGTGAAATGACGCCCACATTAGAAGAATTAGGTGGGTTCACCGGATTGGGGAGAGACCTTCGTGGGAAAAAGCCTGCTGCTCCGAGAAAAGTTGGTGTGAACAACTTTTTAAAGAAATTATGCCTCCGTCGAATTCCAATGGTTTGCTTCAACGAAGGTTGGGTTCAGTTGGAATATCTCTATGACAGGTTTGGGGACGAGAAAGGGTTTGAAAATTTCTCGGGCATAGAATTCGTCAACCAGTTGAGTTACGACGCTTGGAGGGAGTTGAGAATCTTCGCGTTCATGATATCATTTCTAGGGATCATGGTCTTTCCAGAGCGTGGTGGGCGCATCAGAATTCGATTGGTTGCGGTAGTCTCGTATTTGCAAAGTAGCAAGGATCATACCATTCTTCCCATGATTTTGGGAGATATTTTTCGAGCTTTGACCCGATGCCAAGAGGGTGAAGATTACTTCGAGAGATGCAACATTCTGCTGCAGATGTGGTTCATAGAGCACCTTTATCATCATTTAATGGTAATAAATTTCAATGAAAACGGGCTGAATTACATTGGATGTCACCCAGGCAGGGCCGCAAGTTGTAATCTTCCAGATGTGGTGAGGGCCTGGCAGAAATTACTTGGTTCATTGAATGCGGATAGAATCACTTGGAACTATTATTGGTTCCCTTCAGCTAGGGTCATGCATATGTCGATGTATCGCCCGTTCTTCATACTCATGGGTTTCAGAGGTTTCCAGCCCTACGCGCCCCTACGCTCATGCGCCAGCTAGGGAGAGAGCAAAAGAGGCCCCCGATTGAGGACATGCATCCGTTTGTGTGGGAATTCAAGGGAGAGGAACCTCCAAGGGAGTCTTATGCACAAAAGGTTTGGTTTGGTGGTCGATTTTCTGATATAGACGAGATGGTAGCTAATCGTGAACGTGGGAAGGTAAGCCTCGCATACCTTGAGTGGTTTCACAACCAGGCTATCCCCGAGCAAAGGCCAGAAAGATCCATACGGCATGCAGTTGATTGGGAGGAGGAGATAGAGGCCAAAGTTAGAGATACCAGAAGGGAAGTGGCACAAGAGTTCCAATCTCGTATTGACACTTTACAAGAAGATAAGGGAATTCTGGAGACAGCCATGGACATACAAAAGGCTGATTTTGAGCGGGAAAAGGCTCAGTGGGCACGAGAGAAGCAAGCACTCAAAGCCCAAATTCAAAAGAACAACATAGTCGCAACCGCTCAGCAACAAGAAGAGAGAGAAGCCCAGTTCAGGGTAGTCCGTGATCACGAGCGTAGAGGTTTTGCTCCATTAATCCAAGGTCTGAGGGATCAGATAGGGGGAGTTGAGTCAAGCAAGGAGAGCCAGATCGCGGAGTTCGAAATAGAAAGACATCACTACCAGAGTATGATCAACCGGTTGGAGGGGGAGTTACTAGAAAATCGGCGCCAGAAAGATATGGCCTTGGACCGCGAGCGTGATGCGCTGGATCTAGCTGAGACCCGTGGTCAGCAAAATCAAGAGCTGCATGTGGCTCAGGAATACATTAAGGGAAAGATCCTCGAGGTAGCCACGTATACCTCAAGAGCTTGCATGAGTTGTCAGGGAATGACGCCCGAGCGGTTTGCAGAAGTATCTTTGAACGTTGCTCGTCATATATCTGCAGACTTGGAGAGGATATACCGCAATGTTGGGGGTCAGCCGCAGGAACAAGCGCCTTGATTACAGTGATGCTGGTGGATTCTATTGCAAAGATCAAAGTCTTCTTTTAGTTATCAGTCTTTTTTCATTATCCTTTTGTTGTTTTTGAGTCAATAAGAGTCTTTTGGTGTTTTGAGTCTTGTTATTTCGCCTTTTATCCTAAGAAGTCTGTTTGAGTCAGGTCTGGTCTTGTTTATCTTTATGTAATTCTTGCTTTTCGAGTCTTGTATAAAAAATAAAAAAATAAAAAAAAACACGTTTATTATTATTATATATTGAAAATCAACGAAAAAGATTTTTGTTTAAGAAAAATTCGGAAATGAACCAAAAAAGATGTTTGTTTTGTAAAAAAAAAAAAAAAAAGGGGTTAATGTACCTGAACTACGTAATGATCTGATTCATGCGGCGACATGATACGTAGGCAACCCACAAAAGGTTCGATCAAATATTTTTCAAATGACACTAAAGTAAGGGATCAAAATAAGGCGAGTGAAAGGAGGAAATAACAGTGTGAAACAACTGATAAGCCGGAATGAAACATGAAGCCTTCCAGAAGCATATTAGAGATGATGATATTTTAGGAGCATAGCATATCTACGTGTGATTCTTATCTGCAAAATGCTTAACTCTAACACATTTGTTGCCTCTTAACTAGTAAGCTTAAGGTGGTTGGTTTGTGGTGAAAACTGGCAACACATCATTACTTCACAAGATCTAAGGGAGCAGTGGTAATGGACAATAGTGATGAAATTGAGTTGGTCAGTGACAATCCGCAAGGTCAGTCAGTTGAGCAAGAGTCGGAGGAAATAAGAAAATTGAGACAACAATTGTCAGATGTATATCAAGCTTGGGTTTTCGGTCGACCTCCACCCCAGGGTCCTTCAGAGGGAACTTTCACCGTACCCCAGGCTACTCAAACACCGCTCCATGCAACAAGCGATCCCATTCTACCACCAGGGTATGTGCCAAACTACAGCCTCCATGCTGCCCTCGGTACCTCTAATATGCGACCTCCAGTCGCACCGGTTAGGAACACCCCTCTCGTCGTGTCTGGCGCACCGGTATATACAATCCCGCCGCCACCACCTGTGACGAGGCCAAACAATGAGCCACTATCTCATGCTTATGATGGCCAATACTATTCTCCAAATATAGCTTTCGGGGTCTCGGCTCCATACAATCAGACTCCTCAGTACGAATCACCAATGGAAAATGAGAAGCCTGCCACGAGGGTTGAGCCAGATGAGATGGCTAGGAAAATGAAAAGTCTTGAACAAAATATAAAGAATATACAGGGACTAGGTGGTCACAAAAGCGTTTCATTCAGTGATCTATGCATGTTCCCCCACATCCATTTGCCAAGAGGGTTCAAGACCCCGAAATTTGAGAAATATGATGGACACGGCGACCCCATCGCCCACTTGAAAAGGTACTGCAACCAGCTGAGGGGTGCAGGAGGAAAGGAAGAGCTACTGATGGCTTACTTTGGGGAAAGCCTGTAGCTTCTGAATGGTTCATTGACCAAGATATCTCTCACTGGCATGTTTGGGATGACATGGCCCAGGCCTTCGTCAAACAATTTCAGTACAACATCGACATTGCGCCGGATCGTAATTCTTTGTCCAGTATGAAGAAAAAGCCGACCGAAAGTTTTAGGGAGTATGCCATCAAGTGGAGGGAGCAAGCGGCTAGAGTTAAGCCACCCATGGATAACCACGAGTTGATTGCTGTTTTTCTGGAGGCTCAAGAGCCTGATTACTTTCAGAACATGATGTCCGCGATGGGTAGACCTTTTGCAGAAGCAATCAAAATAGGGGAGATGGTCGAAAATGGCCTCAAGACTGGCAGAATTGTAAGTCAAGCTGCTCTCAAAGCCACCACCCAAGCTATCCAAAATGGGTCGGGAGGTTTGGCAAACAGAAAGAAGAGAGATGAAGGGTCCATGATGGCTTCGGGATCTAGGGAGTTTCAAAGAGGGGCATCGCACCCTTATGTGCAATTTCAGCAGGGGCAATCCAGCTACCCTCAACATTATTATCCCCCGCCGATTCCTCAATACTCTGTGGGCCCACCACAATATACAGTGTTCAATGCTCAATCATATGCTCGGCCTCCCAATCAGCAGGTACGGGCACTAGCTCCGAGGGCCCCCCGACCTCAGCAGCAAAATTTTCGGGCACCTTACAATGCTCGTCCCAGGCAGGATTATGGTCGAGAGCAGAGGCCGGTAGAAAAATTCACTCCATTGGCTGAATCATATTCTAGTCTATTCCAGAAGCTGAAGCAAATGGGCGTAATTGGACCCATCGCCCCCTACCATATGCATCCCGATTTGCATGGATTTCAAGCAAACGCTAGATGTGAATATCATTCCGGTGCCCCAAGGCAAGCATTGATGACTGTTGGACTCTAAAAAGAGCCATAGAGAGACTCATTTCCGAAAAACTGATTGTAGTGACGAATGGCGAGGACCCTCCTAACGTGACAAATAATACGTTGCCAGCACACAATGATGTTCATTTTGTTGGAATTATTGGCCGAGACCAAGAATACAAGCCGGCCGGTCGAGCAGAAATGACAGTGGGTGCAATTCAAGAAGGAGCAGGTCTGGAAGTAAGTCCCAGCCGAGATGTGCCATTGATTGTGAAAGGCACCCAGAACTCGAATAAGGCAACTTTATTTGTTCCAAAGATCTCGAGGTTGGAAGTTCACTCTAGTGTTCCAAGCCCAAGGTTATATGTACTTGGAGGCCATCCCGTCAAAAGGGAGAAGCAGGGAGGTATGAAAGGTATAACAGAGCCTATCGTAATCAAACCTGCCATGCAACTCCCTGTAACCAACACAAAAACCACTCCTTGGAACTACAACAAAATGGCGATGACCTACAAAGGCAAGGAAATCATAGAGGAAGCGGGGGAAACTGGAGGTTTTACTCGAGCAGGGAGATGTTACTCTCTAGAAGAGTTGAGGAAGGCCAAGCAAATTAGAGAAGGCCATTTGCCAGTAAAGAAGCCAGTCACTGAAGCAGATACGGAAGAGTTTTTGAAAAAGATGAAAGTTCAGGATTACTCAATCATTGATCAACTAAGAAAGACTCCCGCTCAAATCTCTCTACTATCTCTTCTCTTACATTCCAAAGAGCATGCCCGTGTACTAATCAAGGTCCTGAACGAGGCACATATCTCAGAGGAGACCACAGTGAATCAGTTAGAGAAGATGGCCAACAGATTTTTTGAGGTGAACAGAATCTCCTTTACTGATGATGAACTTCCCAAGGAGGGAGCCGGGCACAATAGGGCTTTGAACTTGATGGTCAAATGTGAGGGTCATTATGTAAAGCTAGTCATGGTCGATGGAGGCTCAAGTGTAGATGTATGCCCTCTCTCTACCTTGCAAAGCATGAAGATCGATACAGACAGAATCCGACCCAGCAATGTTCGCATCTGGGCTTTTGATGGCTCAGCAAGAGATACCATTGGGGAGATCAACCTCACCATGACGATTGGGCCAATTGACTTTGAGATTGTCTTCCAGGTAGTGGACATGGCCACTTCTTATAACTTTCTTCTTGGAAGGCCATGGATCCATACGGCCCGAGCTGTGCCATCCACCTTGCATCAGATGCTCAAATTTGAACATGACAGGCAAGAAATTATTGTTCACGGAGAAGACGAGTCTTCCATTTATAAAGACCCGTTAATCCCCTGTATTTAGGCCAAGGAAGGGTCTGAGTCCATTGTCTATCAGGCTTTTGAAGTGGTTGTTGTGGACCATGTCGAGGAAGGAAAGCCTATTCTGCATCCTCGTCTTTCCGCCATATCTGTAATGGTGGCTGCAGTTATGATGAGACAAGGTTATAAGCCAGGAAAAGGCTTGGGGGCATCATTACAAGGAATTTTGGAGCCTATTTCTCCGTTCGGTAACTAGGGTACTTTTGGATTGGGCTTCAGGCCAACACAAGCAGACGAAAACAAAGTCAAACACCGCAAAAAGCATGGATGGGTCTTGCAACAGCCTATCCCTCATATTTTCTACACTTTTGTCAAGCCACGACTCCGAGAGGGTCAAAATTCCTCGGCGCATGCAAACATTAATGAAATTTGCCATGGCCTCAGCGAGATGTTTTCTGAAGTGAATATGATCCAGGCTGGTGAAGGCACTAGTCATGCCGATATGCAACTAATTGACCCAGACACCATGCTCACCAACTGGGAAGCAACTCCTCTCCCCACAAGGAAGGAGTCTTGGTAGTTTGCTTTTGCAACTTCTTTTTTGTATTTTGGGTTATTTTCAGGGTTGTAATCCAAACATCTCAGTATGATTGTTTTGTTTTGATGTTAACCCTTCTATCCTTTCGAATTCAATGAAATGCAGTTCAGTTTCCTGTTAAGTTTTCTAGCTTTTCCTTTTCCTAATTCCTGTCATTTTATTTCCATTTCAGTTTTGTTAATGCCGGCTTTAATAATGCGGAATTCACGCCCAGATCTTAAAAAGCTGTCTAATATCGAAATAATGCATCAAGAGGTTGAATATGATGAAGATGAGGTTGTTGAGGAAATAAAAAGAGAGTTGGAACAATTTGAAAACAATCCTAAGCCAAACCTCAATGAAACTGAGCCGATTAATATCGGAAGTCCTGAAGAAGTTAGAGAAACGAAGATAAGCATTCACACTGAACAAAAGAGATGCCTCGATTCAACTTTTATTTGAATACAGAGATGTGTTTGCATGGTCTTACGATGATATGCTAGGTTTAAGTGCTGATCTGGTGGTTCATAAGCTTCCTACGTATCCTGGCTTTCCACCAGTCCAACAAAAGCAACGAAAATTAAAAACAGACATGAGTGACAAAATCAAAGAGGAAATAATGAAGAAACTAAGCGCCAATGTGGTCAGAGCTGTCCGATACACTACCTGGGTGGCAAATGTTGTGACTGTGCCAAAGAAGGATGGAAAAACTAGAGTATGTGTCGACTATAGGGACTTGAACAAAGCAAGTCCAAAGGATAATTTTCCTTTGCCAAATATCCACATTCTTGTAGATAATTGCGCAAAACATGAGAAACAATCGTTCGTGGATTGCTATATTGGGTACCACCAAATTCTAATGGATGAGGATGATGCAGAAAAGATTGCTTTCACCACGCCATGGGGTACTTATTGTTACAGGGTCATGCCATTCGGTTCAAAGAATGCAGGGGCAGCCTACATGAGGGCCATGACCACCATTTTACACGACATGATGCACAAAGAGATTGAAGTATATGTCGATGATGTCATCATAAAATCAAAGACACAAGCTGATCACGTGTGTGATTAGAAAAAGTTCTTCGAACGGCTTCGAAGGTATGACCTTAAGCTTAATCCAGCCAAGTGTGCATTTGGGGTTCCGTCTGGGAAACTCCTCGATTTTATAGTTAGCCGGAGAGGCATCGAATTGGATCCATCTAAGATAAAGTCCATTCGAGATCTCCCACCCCCAAAGAACAAAAAGGAAGTCATGAGTTTGCTCGGGAGGTTGAACTACATCAGTAGGTTCATTGCTCAGCTCACAACCACGTGCGAGCCCATCTTTAAGTTGCTAAAAAAGGATGCCTCTATCAGGTGGACAGACAATTGCCAAAAATCTTTTGACATGATCAAAGATTATCTGTCAAAACCCCCTGTACTGGTCCCGCCTGAACCTGGTAGGCCTTTGTTTTTATATCTATTGGTGATGGATAATTCCTTTGGATGCGTTCTGGGGCAACATGATGCAACAGGCAAAAAGGAACAGGCAATCTATTATTTGAGCAAGAAGTTCACCAATTATGAGGTTAAGTACACCCTTTTAGAAAGGACATGTTGTGCCTTGACTTGGGTCGCTCAGAAGCTGAGACATTATCTTTTGGCCTACACTACTTACCTCATATCCAGAATGGATCCTTTGAAGTACATCTTCCAAAAGCCAATGCCCACTGGCAGGCTCGCAAAATGGCAAATCCTGCTCACAGAGTTTGACATCGTCTATGTCACTCGCACCGCGATGAAAGCACAGGCTTTGGCAGATCATTTGGCAGAGAATCCAGTTGATGATGAGTACATGCCACTTAGCACATACTTCCCAGACGAAGAGGTCAACTCAATAGAGGAAGTGGTTCCAGACGATCACCCTGTATAGAAAATGTATTTTGATGGGGCTGTCAATATCAAAGGAGTTGGGATCGGGGCAATCCTCATCTCACCTATTGGACATCATTACCCTGCAACGGCCCGACTTCGGTTCTTCTGTACCAATAATACGGCAGAATACGAAGCTTGTATCATGGGTTTGAAAATGGCCATCGATCTGGATGTGCATGAACTATTGGTTATGGGAGATTCTGACTTGCTTATCCGGCAAGCCCAAGGCGAATGGGAGACTCGAGACATCAAGCTTATTCCGTACAGACAATGTGTGCAAGACTTGAGCAAAAGATTCAAATCCATCGAGTTCAGGTACATTCCCAGGTTTCACAACGAGCTAGCCGATGCCTTGGCTACTTTAGCCTCGATGCTCCCTTATCCAGGCAACACTCATATTGATCCACTAGAAATCCAAGTTCGGAATCAACACGGTTACTGCAATACAATTGAGACAGAACCAGATGGTGAACCATGGTATCATGACATAAAACGATTCCTGAAAACAAGAGAATATCCATAGCATGCCAAAGGAGATCAAAAAAGAACTATAAGGCGGCTCGCCAGTGGTTGCTTCTTGAATGGGGAAATTCTGTACAAGAGGACCCCAGATTTAAACTTGTTGAGATGCATAGATGCCACAGAAGCGGAGAAGATCATGAGTGAGGTGCATTCGGGGGTATGCGGACCTCACATGAATGGATATATTTTGGCGAAAAAGATTCTGCGGGCAGGGTATTATAGGCTTACTATGGAGCGAGATTGCTTCAGTTTTGTTCGCAAGTGTCACCAGTGCCAGATTCATGGTGACCTGATTCACTCGCCTCCTTCGGAGTTGCATCCCATGTCCTCTCCTTGGCCTTTCGTTGCTTGGGGAATGGATGTTATTGGGCCAATCGAGCCAAAGGCTTCAAATGGGCATAGATTCATTTTGGTTGCAATTGATTACTTCACCAAGTGGGTGGAGGCCGTCACTTTCAAAGCAGTCACCAAGAAAGCAGTGGTATACTTTGTCCATTCCAACATCATCTGTCGCTTTGGTATCCCAAAGACCATTATCACTAATAATGCAACCAATCTAAATAGCCATCTGATGAAGGAGGTATGCGAACAATTTAAAATCATGTATCGTCATTCTACCCCTTGCCGACCAAAAGCCAATGGAGTCGTTGAAGCGGCGAACAAGAACATCAAGAAGATTCTTAGGAAGATGATCCAAGGTTCCAGGCAATGGCATGAAAAGTTGCCTTTTGCTCTTTTAGGATACCGCACGACTGTTCGCACATCTGTTGGTGCAACTCCGTATCTGCTTGTATATGGAACTGAAGCTGTAATACTCGCTGAAGTCGAAATTCCCTCTCTCCGAATTATTGTGGAATCAGAGATTGAAGACACTGAGTGGGTCAAGACCCGATTAGAAAAACTGATGTTGATCGATGAAAAACGGCTAGCAGCAGTGTGTTTCGGCCAGTTATACCAGCAAAGAATGGCACGCTCTTACAATAAGAAAGTGCGCCCAAGGCAGTTTGAGGTAGGCCAGCTAGTTTTGAAATGCATCCTTCCGCACCAGGTTGAAGCTAAAGGAAAGTTCGCCCCGAACTGGCAAGGACCCTACATCATCAAGAAAGTGTTACCAAAAGGGGCCTTGCACTTGGTAGATGAAGAAGGACGGGTACCAGACATGACTATTAATGCAGATGCAGTCAAAAGATATTATGTCTGATATACCCACTGTAGAATTTTCACGCATTGATTTTCTCAAATCGAAGTGATGAAGGCTATCATTTGCTAGCTATTCCAAATAGGTGTCACCCTTTTGTTAATCCTTTTTGGGCAGTATTTGTCTTCCTTGTTTCTCACTTTTTAGAACATGTGTACTTGTAAAAAAGCCGAACAACAAATCTCTGAGTCATTGAACTACGTCCGACCTGATTTCGAAAGGATACGTAGGCAGCCTTACCCTGGGTTCGGTCCCATCAGAAAAAAAAATCCATATTCCCAATACTCCAAAACTGGGGCAGAAGTTTGTTTATTTTCACGGTTTTTCTGTAAAAACGGTTCCAAAAGTTGTAATTCAGTTCAAGGTTCATTTCGCCTTTTTACCTTTCAAGAACTTCTGATCGATGTTTTTTTTAGAATGTTTGAAGTCCCCATGCCAAACGCGTTGGGTAACCTCCCTCCTGCAGTATCTTATTCAAAAAAAAAAAGAAATAAAAATGAGAGAGTCTTATCAGTGAAAACCCGTACGGGCACTATAAGGCGACAGTGAGCAGAGAAATGAGAGAGTCTTATTGGTGAAAACCCAGATGGGCACCATAAGGCGACGATTAGTAGAGAAATGAGAGAGGTTAGTTAGCGAAAACCTGCAAAGGGCGCTACTAGCCAAATGAGGGCCTTTGATTCTCCGGCATGAGCACAACCAAGACAAATTCAAGATGAACATTTGCGGCAGATTTTGAGAATTAGACAGCTTAGACGGATCAGGCGTCCAGTCCAAAATGCATGTCATGATTCATTGAAGTCGGCACATACCTCAAGATAAGTCTCCCTATTCCTTTCCTCGAAAGGGACACCTTTTGTTTAAAAACTGTTCTTTTTCACTTTCAATTATTATTCCGTTTTTTGCCATAATTTTTCTTTGAGTCCCTTTCGGTCTAATCCTGCATCAAAAGAGAAACAAAGAAATGGCTGCAAAACTAGCTACAATTCCCCCGTAATATCGAGCACAATTTGGGGCATATATGGCATTGGCGAAGGCACGAATCCATCTGAGATCTCATTTGATAAAGCAAACAAAGTGTTTTAAAGAAACTAAAAAGTCGCATGAGCAGGACCTGCTTCATGAGAAAGTTGATAAGCACTACGGACACAAATTGATACTGGGTGCAAGACAACTGAGTTTGATTTTAAAGAAAAAAAAATACATTGCCTTAGAGACAAGGGTAGTGGTACCATGGACATCTGGGTATGAAACAGTTGGGGGAAATAATGTAAATCCAAGGTCTCTAGAAAATGATACAGAGCAGCCGAGCATCTCGGTACCATGCTGACAGAATCGGTTCTTCGACAGCAGTGGCCGTGAATCAAACTACTCAAGGCATCAAGGCCACAAACCAACCACCACTTTGAAAACTCATAAATCTCTCTTTGTTTGAAGCAGGAACAAAGCGGTGCAGAATGGAAATTCTAAAAGATGAACGTCACCAAACGTAAGCTTCTTAAAATCTCCATTTTTTCTCTTTTCAGCATGCATCACTATTGTTCACACCTCCCATTTTCATAGCTTAACTCAGGTAGAATCTTTTCGCCTAGGGGATCCAGCTCATAGTTCCGAGTAGAAGTACTCTTCGCTCAGGGTGTTTTACAGAGCTTAACTCAGGTAGAATCCTTTCGCCTAGGGGGATCCAGCTCATAGTTCCGAGTAGAAGTACTCTTCGCTCAGGGTGTTTTACACGGCTTAACTCAGGTAGAATCCTTTCGCCTAGGGGGATCCAGATCATAGTTCCGAGTAGAAGTACTCTTCGCTCAGGGTGTTTTACACTGCTTAACTCAGGTAGAATCCTTTCAACAAGGGGGATCAAGCTCGTAGTTCCGAGTAGAAGTACTCTTCGCTCAGGGTGTTTTACAGAGCTTAACTCAGGTAGAATCATTTCACCTAGGGGGATCCAGCTCATAGTCCGAGTAGAAGTACTCTTCACTCAGGGTGTTTTACACAGCTTAACTCAGGTAGAATTCTTTCGCCTAGGGGGAACGAGCTCATAGTTCCGGGTAGAAGTACTATTCGCTCAGGGTGTTTTACACAGCTTAACTCAGGTAGAATCCTTTCTACTAGGGGGATCCAGCTCATAGTTCCGAGTAGAAGTACTCTTCGCTCAGGGTGTTTAATGTAGCTTAACTCAGGTAGAACCGTTTCGCCTAGGGGATTCAACACTTTATCAGTAATACAAGGATACCAACCCATAATTACATTCCTTCCTAGTGGTACAAGGCTCCTACCCCTGGCTACGTTTCCTTTCAGTAATATAGGATACTGTGCTATAATTCCACTGCCATTGGTAACACAGGGTGCTACCCTGTGGTTGCGTATCCTCACATAGCTAGTTTATATTACATTCTTTTCCTTATTTCAATAAATTAAATAGTTTGTAGCTTTCTCTAATAACTCACAAAAGTTTCCTAGTGCCAGACTGGGGCAGAAAATTTTTGTTCGTTTTGTTCGTCTTTGATGGCTTCGCAGGCTCTGCCGCACAACCCAAGTGACGATTAAAGCTTGCAGTTTCAGTTTCTCATCAGAAGAAAGAAGTCCTTCGATCACACGATAGTCGGAGTTAGCTTTGATAATGTGTCGGCAACACAACTTCTCAAGTTTCATTTTCTCAAAATTCTAATCCAGAAAGCAAGCAACCGAGATTGAGTCATAATCTCTTCTTTAAAGAGAATCAAGATCCAGTCTAAGGTCAACACAAGAGAGCAAGTCAAGAATCAAGATTTGACTCCAGAAGACACGTAGATAGGAATTTTGTACTCTTAGTTTCCAATAGCCCGATCCTAGCCCACTCACCTTTCTCCAAGATTGAAGTTAGAACTAGGAGTCCTAAAATCTTAATGAATAGACTTTTTTCCTTGTTCCTTTTCGTGTGAATTACCCAGCGGGGAATTCAAAACTTGTGGGGCCCGCTTATTCTGACTAATTGATCCATTTGCAAAAAGAGGGCCTTCCTCCTTCTTGCTTGAAGCTCGC